ATTTCTGATCTCCAAAATTCCCCCCTTTAATTAGTCCAAATGCCTTCCCTTTTATAGCCATTATAGACCTGTCCACTCTTTAAAACTTAACTACCCGACCCCCTTGACCACTAAAATCTGCATATTTCCACTTAAAACCCACTAAGGAATGCTTTTCCTTATTTTCCGCCCCCAATTTCCTCTTGTTCCCCATTAACTTAATTTAAAGACATTTAATACCCCACTAACAAGACACTAACATTAAAATATTATCCTAACTGTTCCATTCCCAAATCACCCCTGAAACCCCTTAATATTACTGCCCTAATACAATCTATTCATCTGCATTAAAACCTTTAACTCTAAAATCTGTTCAAGCTAACAATTATCCAAAACTAATTCTGATTAACAGCTATAACCAATCCTCCTGACAACTGAATGACTAAGGTTGAATTTCAATTGAAACAAATGAACTGAATTTAAATCAAAACCAAACTAACACAACACAGAACTCAACAGAATCATTGAAGCTGAANAACAATTATCTAAAACTAATTCTGATTAACAGCTATAACCAATCCTCCTGACAACTGAATGACTAAGGTTGAATTCCAATTGAAACAAATGAACTGAATTTAAATCAAAACCAAACTAACACAACACAGAACTCAACAGAATCATTAAAGCTGAAGCTGAAACTGAATCAAAATCACCTGAATGCAGGGATTAAACTAACACAATTCTAAGTCAAACCTATACAAGAATGCAGGATCATTGTCAGTATATTGACAATGTCCTGAAGCTAATTGCCTAAAGATCAGTACATACAACATTCGACCTCAAACCATTTGACGAAAACTACTAGTAAAACTGAATTAATCGACGATAACTAATTAACTGATTGCCTACAACAATTGACAACAATCAATCAGAAATAGATAATCAGGCAATTCAAGCGGCAGTGACAAGAACAGGAATTTATAATAAGACTTAACTAATCGACGAAACTTATTCGAATCGATTACACAACCTATAATTATACAAAACAACGAGCAAAAACAAATTCGACCAAATAAAAGGTCTGAGGGAGAAGAATAGAACAATCGACAAAAAATTGAAAAATTAATATAACAATACTAAACAAATAAACAGACATTTAAAACATCAAAAATAAAATAAAAGGAAAGAAGGAAAAATACCTTAAATGGAACAGAGAACAAACGTACTTGAATTGACTCGGACTTGAACTTTTTTGAGCTCAAACGAACCTTAATCGAGTGTTCTCATCTGAGAACACTTCGACTAAGGTCAGTTAAACACCTAAATTCCCTTCAATTTCGGAGAGAAACCAGTTTTGGTTTTCTAGGGTTCTTACGTTTCGATTTGGGGTTCGAGTGTTTCTAGCCAGATTCAACCCAAACCAAAGGTGGTTTGGGCACGAGGGAGGTCAGGGGGTGCCAGGGTATGAATTTGGGGTGGATTGGTTTTGGTTCGTGGTTTGATTGAAGATTCGAGAAGCTGGGGGATGATTCGAAGGGAAATGAGTATGGGACTGGAACGAGGAAGTCTTGGGGAAGCTGTGGTGTGAAATTGGAGGCCATTGGACGAGATAGGGTTCCG